CCACCCCTTCCTGAAAGTCACGCCCCTTCCCCATCAGCCCCACCTACTGCTCCTGCCAGCTCCACCCTTTCTGTCAGACCTGCCCCCTGCCCCGCCCCTGCCCCTCTCAGCTCCGCCCCCTGTGGTTTCTGGCCCCGCCCCTTCCTCCCCTCCTCCTGTTGTTTCTGGCCCTGCTCCCAGGCCTGCGGCCCCGGCTCCACTCACGTGTGTGACCGCACCATCCACACCAGCGGGGTCTGCGTCCTGCTGGACACTGCGCTGACCCCATGGCGGGAGCTGAGCCCTGGATGGCAAGGTGAGAGAGTGACCCCTGACCCATGGATGACCACTGACCTATGGGGGACCCATAGCTGACCCACGGGTGACGACTGACTGACCCCTGACCCACGGGTGACCACTGACCCATGGGCTACTGCTGACACATGGGTGACGCATGGCTGCCAAGGTGAGAGAGTGACCAGCCGTGGGTGACCCCTGACCCATGGGAAACTCACAGTGGCCATGATTGACCTCAGGGCTTGAGCTGTGCTTGACCACACAGAGAACACAACTGACCAATGGTGGCCATAATGGCTGACCTCAGGGTGTGACAACAGGGAGCATGACTGACCAAGGGCGAYCATCACGGACCCATGACTGACCCCTGGTGGCCATCACAGACCCTGAATGGCCCCAGCTGACCATTGGCGGTGCTGACTGCCGCAGTGACTGCCCTGTGCCCCCTAGGGTGCCAGCGGGGCCCGGTGGACCTGGTGTTCCTGTTCGATGGCTCGAGCAGCATGAACCCCAGTCAGTTTGGGGCCATCTGCGACTTCATGGTGGACACGATGGAGAAACTGGACAATGGCTCCTTCCGGGTAAAATATGGAGAAAAATGGGGGAAAATGGGGGGAAAATGGGGAAAAATGGGGAAATGGGGGATCTGTGGGTTGGAAATGGGGGGAGAACAGATCCTTCTGCGTGAGAGCAGGAATGGGGGATCTATGGGGCAGGAATTGGGGATCTATGGGGTGAGAATGGGGCAGGAAATGGGGGGAATGGGCAATCTATGGGGCAGGAAATGGGGGAAATGGGGGATCTATGGGGCAGAAATGGGGGGAGAACAGCTCCATCCGCATGAGGATGGGGGATATGGGGCGGAAATTGGGGATCTATGGGGCAAATATGGGGGAAATGGGGCGGAAATGCTCCCTGTGGTCACTCACTCCCTGTCCCCCCTGTGGTCAGTTCGGGGCTGTGCAGTTCTCGACAATGTCCAGACCATGCTCCGTGGTAACTCCCTGTGTTCATTCTCTCCCTGTGGTCACTCCCTGTGGTCACTCACTGACCCCCCTGTGGTCACTCTCTCCCTGCGGTCAGTTCGGGGCTGTGCAGTTCTCGGACCGTGTCCAGACAGTTTTCTCTCTGGCCGATTTCGCGGCGCGGCCGCGGCCCCGGGAGCTACTGCGGGGACTGGAGCAGAGCGGGGGCCTGACGGACACGTTCACAGCCATCGGCTACGCGGTGTGAGACTCTGCCCCACAGCTGCCCCATAACTGCCCCCTAGCTACCCAAAAAATGCCCCATAACTACCCAAAAACTGCCCCATAGCTGCATCATAGCTGCCCCA